CCTCAGGGCATTCCCATAAGCGCTCCATCCCCATCTTCAGCAGCCAGCGCTGAGTTCCAATAACAATGATACCAGAAGCACTCTGATTATACATCAGTCATGCTTTTCCTCTGAGCTTCAAATATCGATCAGATCCCTTCGTCACTCCCTACTACACAGTTATGAAAACTGCATGGTCAGTCCTTATCTTTTCCTCAGTGCAACTTTCATACCAGCGCCGGAAAACCACGAGAACAGACTGGTTGTTTTTTTTTTTTTTCAACAAAACAAAAACTGTCTGAAACATAGAGCAAACACTAACAACCCAGACCTCATCTTAACCAGTTTGTTCTTGCTCAGTCACAACATGGTGACATTCTAAATGAATATGTCACACCACAGATGTATGGTTCCTGCACAGGTCTTACATGCCCGACGAACTTCTGAGTTTTACCAGGCAAAGGATAATGCAGATGAAAAGTCGACTTTATTGTTCATGTTTTATCTTATCTGACTAGGTCTCTTTGCACTGGAACCCACAGGGGCTTAGAAATAAAGGGGGAACCAAAAAATACATGCAGAAGGCAGCTAAAGAGTAAAGTTGAAATAATGGGGAGGACAAAGGGTGAGCTGCATGAGACAGCGAAGGACAGAACTTGGCGTGAGTTGGCTGAGAGCCTATACTCCATTGGAGGCTAGTAAGGTAGAAGAAAAGAAGAAGACTAGGTGTCTATTCATTAAAGAGCAACAGATAACATAGCTTGGCCACCTGAATGCCCTGGCACCAACTGACACAAACAGTCATGCTGAAGAAATATAATCAACAAAGGAAAGATAATGCAAAATATGGAACAATAGCATTAATAACAGCCTTGAAGAAATAAAATACAATAACTGAAAGAAATAAAATAAAGACAACTGAAACACTTTGGCCACATTAAAAGATATAAGTCTGTTTAAAACCATACTGAAGGGAAAGGTTGAAGGTAAGGGAGCAAGAGATGGACATCATCAAGAATTGGAAGGGCAGCAGTCTGAGAGAGTGTACAACCAAGACAAAAGACAGAGCGCATTGGAGATCCATTACAGACAACCTTCACTGGGGAGACTGCACCTGACTGATAAAGATGTGAAGTTCAACTTATGCAATGTATTACAAAATGCACACCAAAGAAGATACTGACATTTCATTTTCCCCTGATTCTTTACTAAGGTAACAGGGGGGGTGGGGGGGGGGGGAAGCTATGCCTCTCTCTACTGACCCACCTGCCTTTGCAGAAAGTCTCACAAGTCTACTTAACAATCTTCAAGGGAAAAAACTGCACCAGTGCCCCGAACGATGCAGCCCCTAAAGTTGTGGGCCAACATCAGGACAGATGCTTATACTTTCTAGGATGTTTCCCCTTCCCCCATTTAAGGTCACAGAAATATCTGCCCACTGCAGATTTAAACTCAACACCTTTGGATCGACAGGCTAACTTCTAGTCTCTATATTATCAGGGTTCTGTTTCTTGACTGAGATATTAGCCGTTGTATGCATGCGAGTCATGGACAATAAACAAGACAAGCTGAAACACCTGACGGCAACAGAAATGTGATTAGTGAAGAAAATGCAATGAATAAGATGCGGACATCAAAAGTAAATGAAGCAGTTCTCCAGAAATATAAAAAAAAAACTTGTGATCTGAAAAGTAAAACTGTAATCTGGTTAAAAAAATAAAACCAGAATCTGATAAGAGAATTAATTTTTAAAAAAAACTTAATTAAAGAAAAACCACAATTTGAATTGAGAAATATAAAAAAACCACTGTTATCAGAGAAAACCACAATCTGATTAGAGAAAAAAAAAACTGATAACAGAATTTAAAAAAAAAAACTGTCATTAGAGAAAACCACAATCTGATTAGAGAATTACATTTTAAAAAAACCACTGTAATTAGAGAAAAACCACAATCTGATTAGAAATATATTTTAAAAAAAAATATGATTAGAAAAAGTTAACTGTAATCTCATTAGCGAAGTTAGATAAAGAACGTTAAGATGTTTGGGGCATTTTACAGTGAGAAATTACCTGAAACTTGTGTTTCTTCTTCTTTACTTCCTGATGATGCTGTCAATAGCAATCTTCATCTTTTTCCAGGTCTGTTCCTCTTTTGTGCCCCGTGAAAACTAACAAAAGACCAGGTAACATAACACTGTTTCTGAAGCAAAACACGATATCAATTGGTGTTTATTTATACCTATATTTTCATAATCATTTCAAATTTTTAAAACAAACAACATAAACAGACAAAGTCAGAAACATATATATGTATGTAATTATGTCCTTTTCGCACCTGTACACAAACCCTTCACCACCCAGACAAGTACATATACCCCATAAACATACAGATATTAAACATAACATACTCCACCCATACAAACTTGTAACTCTACTAATAAAGCGAACAAAGCATCTAATGTCTTCACATCTGTAACGTTTATTTATTTGTTGTCTTCAATTTTGTCGTCATGTCCTAATAACTGAGCATGTCTCTCTTTTATTCAGGCCCCTATTTAGGATGAATGTGCAGTCATTTATTGTACGCCCCCACCTCCTTCTGCTAACCATCAGGTTTGCTATCCAATTACAGACTACCAAACATTAGGTTGCGGGATTATTTACTCAAATGTTAATCAGTACTGAACTATTTTAACCTTACTAAATACACAACAGATCAATAAATGTGCAAGTTAAACATTTATGAATATGTATGGTAAACACACATAAAATAACTACAGTTTAACAGTCAAAATAAAATAAACAAATTATATCACAGAAACATCTAACTTAATCTCTTTGTTTACTACTTGTTGTACTTTGCCGCTCTCAAAATGTTGCTGCCCTGTGCAGCTGCACATGTTGCACATGCCTAAATAAGGCCCGCTTATGTCATCATAGCTGCACACATCTTCAGTTCTGGTGTTCATATTCTTTAAAAAAAAGTTTTTCAGTTTTTATCTTCATGTCTCTTCATTCGTATAATTTAACTCTTTCCAATTTCTTCTCATTCACTGCATTTTTAATCATGTGAACAGAGAGTGTCTATTTTGATGTATCTGAGGGCTTGTTTTGTGCTGGCTTCTAATCTGTGGATATCTACAGTCAGTTCCTGCCGTCATTAGATGTCCGTCTTTAGTCAATGAATGATGCAATACAGCAAAATATTACCAGCAATAAACAGTAAATGTGTTGTTTGTGTCTTCTTTGTTCAAAGATAATCTTATAACATTTTGTTTCATATTTTGTGCTTTACCCTATTTGTACACTCTGTAGTAATGCCCCTGACAAGACAAGAGCAAAATTTGCTAGGAATACACTGTGCAATATACTTCTTCTTCATGTTCACCACCTTTAAACTCAGGTGAAAAGTTCTGGTTGTTCAACCACTTCTGGACTCTAGTCCTGTTCCAGAAACTGTCCTGCGTATACATCTGTTTCACAGTCTAACTCATTTGCATGCAGACTGTTAGTTCCTAGCCACTCAGGCAGATGAACGCCAACTTTGAAGGAAGCTCCCATTTAGTCGACTCTTACGACAGGCTTTTGGCAGGCAGCGGGTCTAATCTTATTTTCTCCACAATAGGGCCCCAAAACCTATATGGGGAAACAAAATACTGTTTGTGTCCCTGTTGTGAAAATGTTACCTTTTACTGCTGTGTTGCCTCTCAAAGCCAAAACACACATCCTCATCTGAGAGGTGGTAAATGTGACACAGTAATAAAATGATATAGGACAGGGCCCACTGAGGTGGCTTTGTGCCACAGGACCAACACGGCAGCTATAAAGGCCATGTTTGGTCACCCTGATGCTGTGACAGGCCTAGCAAGCCAGCAACTGATTTCATTGTCACCACAATGAAAACAACAGTACAATGTGTCCGTGGCTGAGGTGACGAGAAGATGAGGAAGCAGAAACTTATATCTTCCTCAATACCCAAAGCAGTAGAAGAGACAGTGAAGAAGACTGCTTTGCTGTTTACATCAACTATTCCCCAGTGAGAATCCATTCTTGCCCATGGTTTTTAAACACTGTTACTTACCTGTTTTTGTTTTGTTGCTTTATTTGTAATATTTGTGATTTCTTCAACTTTTCTGCCCCGGGAACCCTAAAAATGGGCCAAGAACCTGTGAGAATTTCCAAAAAACTGCGCCCCCCCCCCCCCCCCCCCCCCCAACATTTTACAATACGTTTTGTTTAAAGTACTCATTTACTTTTGTGGCCGGCAAAATGCTGACCACATCACCCATCAAGGGCCTGTTGCTGATCCGTCACTGGCCTGCAAAGGGATCTATATACTTCTCTTATTTGTATACATTCTGTATTTATTGGAAATATATACAGATATAAAAAATGAGTAATCAATAAACAAGAACATCCTGGAGCATTAAACTGAATACCTTCCCGGGGCATTCGTATATATATATATATATATATATATATATATATATATATATATATATATATATATATATATATATATATATATATATATATATATATATATATATATATATATATATATATATATATATATACGAATGCCCCGTGTATATATATATATATTTATATATCAGGTTACGACCTCTATTATCGACTACAGGAAACTGTGACATAAGAATGACTTTAAAAATGGCTAGTTAGTTTACAAGGCCCCCCCCCTCCCCCCCCCCCCCCCCCCCCCCCCCCCCCCCCCCATGCTAATTTTAGAAAATAATATATTCATATCCAGGCCTCACAAACGCTGCACAGAAGCAAATACAACCAATGGCATTCAACTATGCATTTCAAGAACAGGTCACTACATTCACAGGAACTGTGTCATAACTGGAAATAACTAGTTTTATTTAGACTTCTTAGGGTCACAGAGTTAACACCCCCCCCCCCCCCCCCCACTCTTAGTCTTCTTCAGCATTCAATGTTAGGACAGTCTCTCCCATCAGCTCTTGTGTGGACAATATCAAAGTCTGCTGCTTCAGTTTTATTTCTTCCGTCGTTTAATGTTTGTGTTGACCAGCTGCATGAATTCTGGGAAATTCTCCCGCTGCAGGAACAGCAGGTAGGTTTCTTTAAAATCCTGTGGTTATTAAAAAAAAACACAAACAGTAACCATAAAAAAATAACAATGAGGCAAACAGTACCCATACAACATAATAATAAATAAGACAAACAGTAAAACAAAATAACAAAGAGTTAAACTATGAAGAACTAAAATATGATAAGGTTCCATTGGGAAGGGGGGGGGGGGGGGGGGACCACACACACACACACTGCCCCCCCCCCCCTCCCCCCACATAAGCATGTCATGAAAGGCAACTAAGGAGTCTGCTGAAATCGATATGTTAGGCTGAAAGGCAGGGATATCACAGCCTAGGTGTAAACCACAACACAGTGTACCATACACCTTTTTTTTTAAAGAGCAAATGCTGCAGAAGCAGAAGCAGTAGAAGAAGGAAGAGAGGAGGAAGAAGTCCTAACTTCTTTGCATGTTTTTTTGACATGGTTGTTTCTCAAACATGGTGTTTCTAATGCCCTGGATCTTGTCCTTCAGCATAGGATGTAGAGGTGCCGAGCCACTCATGGTGGTGCTGCAGCAACTCCAGAAGGGCTCATACTAGTCAATAACTATCTACAACTCTCCACTGTCATCCTAGGAACATGTTCCCAACCCTAGGCCCGGCCAATGTGGATAGGACTGGCACTGCCTTTGAAGTCAGAGTGCAACTGCCCGAGAGGCAAGGAATCAAAATTCTGCACATTGGCCACATCAGAAAGAGACAATCTACATTCTTTGGTCATGTGATGAGAAGAAGAAAACTGGAGTACATCGTGACAGTAGGAAAGTTGGCGGGAAGGGGAGGCAGAGGGAGACCAAGAGGAAAGATGGTGGACAGTGTGATATCATGGCACGGAGGTTCATCTGTGTCAGAGATGATTAAATGTACACAAGACAAAAGCTAGTGGATAAATATGACTACCAACATAACACGGCAGGGGCGTTAGGAAGAAGAAGAAGTAAGCCAGATCTGTAAAATAGATGCCTTATGTGATACTGCTTGTGCAACTACTAATTTCTTGTAACGACTGATTCTATTAAGGGCAATCTGCAATTCTTGTGGTGGACTATTTGTGTTGGCACTTCTTATGGCTGTCTTATGCATTTAATGTGTGTGTGTATGCACCTGGCATTGCTAAGACTGCTGTCTGTGTCACTTTTCTCACAAAGGACAGTGGTAGTCAATCTGCTGTGGTTTTCACTGGCACAGAAACAGAGTATCTATGAGGTGACCAGGCTGCTGTGCGGTGGGAATTGCAAATAATTAACTAACTGTTTCGGCAATTTGATGATGAAGACAGACAAAACCAACAATGTTGGTACACTTGAAATGTTCAGTCAAAAAGAGAGAAATGAAACACAGAAAACATGAATGAACTGACCTCAATTTGTAAAGGATGCACTTGTTTCCCTTCTCGCTGAGTCTAAGGATGTTTACAATCAGGAATGAAACAAATCAAAAAAAGATTAACTCTTGCTGTCTGTGTATTCTAACTCACAATTTTCCAGATATTTCTACATGTCTGCCATAAATCTACTTATTCTTTCAAATCTACCCTGAAAAGAACATCGGAAAAGGCAGGGGGGGATAATGTGTTCATTTAAGCTTCATGTTTGCAGCATGTTCTTCCTGCTGCTCCTCTTCTTCTCTGTGCATCTACTTTTTGGTCTTCTTGCTCTTATTATTTCTCATTCACTTTCTCTTCGTCTTCTATCAACTACTCCCTGTTAGTTCTGGTAAAGTCTACAAGAAGACGCCTAGTTCATTGTACATGACTGTTTTTGAAAGCTTCTTCAGACTGCCAAATTTCATGTATCAAATTTAGATGAACGTTAAGTTATAGGTAAGCCCACAGAAGACACTGCTATTAACTGGGATTTGGTGTTTGTTATAGTGTTTTCACTCATTCTAGATCATAATATCAGATAAGGGGACCAATTATTTTTTTGCTGTCATTCTACTTCCTAGATAACTGTGTGAACATTCTGGAAATTATCTGGTACTGTTAAAACAAAACAAACAAACAAACAAATTATGTGGCAGAGTTAAACACCTAGAAACATTGTGGTTGTGCAAAATCAGGCCACTTTTAGGGATTAAACCCCGATCTTCCTGTGTAGGTTCCGGAGCCTCAATGTGAAGTGGGAGATAGACCCATCACACATTAACAAGCATGCGGTAAAAGGATAATCATTAAAGATTTGCTGAATGCTATGTTGGGCTGAAAGGTAGAGATATCAGCCTTGCTGCAAAAGACAACAACACAATGTGCCAACAGCCTTCTTGAGGACATAGAAAAAAGAGGAATCTAGACAAGTCTTGGCAGGCAAGAAATTTACATATACAGCTATAATCTCAAAATTCTTATTGTAAGTAAAAGTAAAGGACCCTTTTCCACACCTTTAGGCGTATTGGACATATAGGGCTAGACCTATATTTTACACACCAAAGGGCACTTGGTGGGCGATGTGGTCAGCTTCAAGGCGGCTGCCTTTCTTTCCCAGGACTGAACCTGGCACCCACTCAAGGTTAGTTTGACCTGGGAGCCAGAGACTTTTTTTTTTAAAGTCAGGACAAAACTTTGTAACTACCATTTACTGCCTTTATATATCCCTTTTATTGCGGCCTGGGAGGGGGGGTGTCCTTTGGGCTTGAGGATTTAGGGCTGTATGGCTAGTGCTGTCGCCACGACTGTGCAGGTGAGGATTTTATTTTGCCTGACCACACATGTTGGAATAAGATGAAAATGATCAAATACATACGTGTACAAGACAGGTTAAAATAAGACAAACATGATCAAATGCTTATCAGTACAATACAGGCTGGAATAAGACAAAAATCTCATGCATACCAGTATAACACATGTTGGACCTGCAATTACTGCCTTTTTATATCACTTTTTTTGTGGTGTAGGCGGGGGGGGGGGAGAGAGGATTTAGGACTGTACGGCTAGTGCTGTCGCCACGACTGTGCAGGTGAGGATTTTATTTGCCCGATCACACATGTTGGAAAAAGACAAACATGATCTCATATATACCAGTACATCAGGTTGGAATAAGACAAAAATGATAACATACATACCAGTATAACACATGTTGGAATAAGACACACATGATCACATGCATACCAGTACAACACAGGTTGGAATAAGATGAACAATCACACTGATTGTGATCATGTGATAAAAAGCTCACCTCTTTGAGAAATGTGTAGGCCAGTCCTAGAAATGCTGGACCTCTGTAGACAGTTAGAGCACTGTCATTTAGTTTTCCTTCCAGGCATGAGGGCAGCTGCACTCTGAAGATGGATTCATATTTGTCCTTTCGGTCAGAGAACAGGCGACCTTGGATCACAGAATTTAAAAAAAAAAGATATTTGTGATTAATTTGAAAGACTCGACTTCACTGCACTAGCCTGAATTCCAGCTAGCTCAGTCTTTCTCTGCAGAGAAGCTGGTCATCAGCTGAGAGCATTGCACAAAGCATGAATTCCAAAGCTCCACCTTCGAAGGTGAATTTGATATATGGTGCTTGCTCCATTATTTGCCACTCCAAGAATGATGTGGTCAACATCACATGAAAATTTTCTGGCACGTATGCTATTGCAGCAGTGTTTTTTTTTTTTTTAAATCACAGGACCTTCCTCCTTCTATCAGATAAGCACTGCAAATTGCAGTGGAACTTTATGCAAAAATCATATTAACTCTTTGACATGGAAAACTGCATTGAAGATTGCACAAGACAGGAAAGCATGGAAAGTCCTCTCTGAAGCCTCATGTGCCACTAGGCATAACGAGAACTGATGATGAACTGCCTTAAAAAAGCCAAATGAACTGTTTATCTGGTTCAATGTCGCACAAATAAAACAACTGTTTTTATTTTTTATATTTGATCAGCATTTTTATTTTATAGAGAAATTTTTCATTAGCCAGAATATAAAGAGTTCTTTTCACATAGCATAATACCATCTTGTTTACTGTTAATTTCAAGTTCATCTTCACTGCATGTCAGGCACACCCATAAGTATTCCGATCTTCCTATGTTTCGTACTGTGTTTATGCTGATCATTTCTGTTCTGTACTAGCTAATGTAGTGAATGAGTTCTTGCATGGTTTCCCCATCACTCTGCTCCAATAGATACCGTCTTCAAACTTAATGAATTTCAGAAAAGTAATGAATGAACTAGTTTAGAGGGCTGAGAATGACCCCATGAGTGGAAAGAACCATTATTAATGCCTATCTTTCAGAAAAGGAGACTAATACAAATAAGGAAAATACAGGACTACCTATAGTTTCTACAAGTTATAAGATACTGCTAGGATAAAGGCTGAAACCTTATGTGGAAAATATACTGGCTGATTACCTGGCAGATTTCCGAGAGAACAGATTAACAATTGATATTTGTTTATGGCAAACAGCAGAGAAAAATTGGGAATATAGAACGGATGTATATGTGGTTGCTTATATGGATATATTTTAAAAAAGCATTTCATATTGTATACATAGAAGAAGTTTGCCGAATGGCTATGCAGGACTTTGGAATACCATAGTTAATCAACATGATCATATACAACATATCATAACATAATATGTAAAGAGGTATGGAATACCTTTAAAAACGTCCCTCCTACTGATCCTGCTCCCCCCCCCCCCCCTCTCTCTCCTTCCAACCTCCCAAAACCATCTTGTCTGACAGAAAACATAGTGACCCACCTTGCCAAAGAGTGACCCAACCTGCCATGAAGTGACCCACCTTGCCATAAAATTACCACCTTGCCACTTAGTGACCCACCTTGCCAAAGAGTGACCCAACCTGCCATGAAGTGACCCACCTTGCCATAAAATTTCCACCTTGCCACTTAGTGACCCACCTTGCCACTTAGTGACCCACCTTGCCAAAGAGTGACCCAACCTGCCATGAAGTGACCCACCTTGCCATAAAATTTCCACCTTTCCACTTAATGACCCACCTTGCCAAAGAGTGACCCACCTTGCCATAAAATTTCCACCTTGCCACTTAGTGACCCACCTTGCCAAAGAGTGACCCAACCTGCCATGAAGTGACCCACCTTGCCATAAAATTTCCACCTTGCCAAAGAGTGACCCAACCTGCCATGAAATGACCCACCATGCCATAAAATTACCACCTTGCCACTTAGTGACCCACCTTGCCACTAAGTGACCCACCTTGCCACTAAGTGACCCACCTTGCCACTCAATGACCCACCTTGCCACAGCATGCCCAGCACATCCAGCAAGAGGGCGTTGAACTTCTCCGTGCTGTTGTTGACCGATTTGCTGGGAAAGTCACAAGTTGTAGTGCAGGCCAAAGAGACTCCATGTTTCCGGCTACTTGACTTCAGCAACACAAATGCCTCCCGGAACCTGGCCACAGTGTACATATTAACTAAAGTAAGTCAGTAAAGGATACCTTTCCACGCGTTTAGGTGTATTAGGGGCTAGACTTATATTTTATATTTAAATAATGTGGACACAAACAATAATGCCAGCCAATTTCACTGTACTCGTCAGGTGCGTTACTACAGAGTTACATCAACATATCATGTAGCACAAATTGAAATCCTTTTCTTACTGAAATGCATAAACCACACTGTCGAGTTGCTGTAACATCTTTCTGACGGAAATTCAAAATCAGTTACGTGATTACGACCGCAACTTCATTTGTGCTTCACTGTTTTGTTTGTTGATTTAACAGATGACACTGATAATAGTAATGTGAAATATGCCGGGCAATAAATTGCGCAATGTATTGTTTGTGTCCGCATTATTTACATTTACAGCGGGAAAACACTGTTTTGAGTTAAATTTTATAGCCCAATCGGCAGTGGGTGGGTGACGTGGTCAGCATCATACCGGCTGCCTGTAATTCCCAGGACTTTACCTGAAACCCATTTAGAGCTGGGTCGACATGGGAGCCAAGTTCATTTTGGAAAAAAAGTCAAACACCATTAGGATTTGAACCCTAGACCTTAGTAATCTGCAGGTAAGCGTCTAGCACCTACACAACCGTGGCTCCCAGGGTGAAAATTAATCCGTCAATATTGTAAAGACAGCAAATGGACACAACACTCAAAGATCTGATTTCACAGATCTGCCTTAATTTTTGCAGACTTGGTACCCATCAAAGATGCAAAAAGCGGGGAATAGAGAGTTAGAAGCAACAACAAAATTCCTAACCTGTTAAATCACAACTGATAACTGGCATCATAAGAGCTAATAGACTGAAATGGTTGGGGCATACTGAAAGAATGTCAGGTGGCAGAAAGGTAAAAACTGTATACAGGAGGGAGATGAATGGTCGCAGACACCGAGGCAGACCAAGAAGACAATGGAGGGATAATATCTAGAGAGACCTGCAAACACTTGGTGTCACCAACTGGAAAGAGAAGGCCAACCAGAGAGATGAATGGAGGCGGGTGATATCTGCAGCAAAGAACCTCAAGGGCTCGGAATGCTGAAGAATAAAAAGTTGGTTTCTTTCCTCTCAGGCAGATGTGCTGCGACTTCGAAGGGAACATCTAACAAACCCATGCTGGCCGTGCCCACCTAGTGGGGAACTTGTTTCAAGGATGACAATGCACAAGTGTACACAGGTCCTGACTGTCATCACCTCTGGTCCTGAAGCGCCACCACCAAATGTGGCTAACATCTCTCAAATCATGGCAGACGATTGAATGTTGAATTGAATTAAGAATCAACATCATAGCACTCTGAACGCCACCCCCTCCCCCTATAAGCGCTCCGTCCCCATCTTCAGCTGCAAGCGCAGAGTTAAAATTCCACTGTCTGATTGTATATCCGTCCCCCCTTTCCTCTGAGTGTCAAGCCTCTGCCAGATCCTCTTGTAACTCCTCGCAGTGCCATTCTCCTCAGACCATAATGATCTATCTGTGTCTCGGCACTGTTCACTTTCTCCCAAAGGGCCCTCACAACATCCAGCTTGTCATACATCAGTTCACCACTAAGTGGTGTACTACCAGCCAGTCCATCTGCCTGTTCATTTCCCAACACACCGGCATTCCCTGGAGAAAATATCTAAAGGATGCTAACCTTTGAAGTGATGCTTGCCACTCTGCACAGAGCATGCCTGTCTCCACCTTTTTCAATATGCTCTGTGAGTCAGTTACAATCACGACATGTGTGTAAAGCTGATTCTCAAGCCAGCGGAAGGCAGCAGTGACTGCCTCCACCTCCATTTTCAAACAGGCAGCCAATTAATTCTGAATGATGTCTAACTTTACAAAGTTAATCAGACAAATAAAACTTACGTATTTATTATACCGCAAAGTCTGGCCAAGGTTGCACAACAGTCTGACAGCAACAAGCGGTGAATTAAACGCATGGGCAGACACACAAGAGGTACATTGTATTTGAGGCACATCTCAGAAATCTGGGGGTAACATGAGCAGATATATGTAGTAATGAAAACAGATGGACACTGACAGAGATGGAAGGAAATATGGACAGATATAGGGAAAGTTGAATGGAAACATGGACACATATAGGGCAGATGGATGAAAACATGGACATATATACAGAGAGATGGACAGACAGCTACAGGAAGAGATGGATGGAGACATGCACAAATATAGGTAGAGATGGATGTGAAATGGACATAAGTAAAGATGGATGAGAAATGGACAGACATATGTAAAGATGGATAGGGAATGGAGAGGCATAGGTAAATATGGTTACAAAATGGGCAGACATACGTAAAGGTGGATGGGAAATGGACAGACATTTGTAAAAAATAGATGGGAAATAGACAGACATTTGTAATAATGAATGGGAAATGGACATACATATGTAAAGGAGGATGGGAATATGGGCAGACATTTATAAAGTTGCATGGGAACATGGGCACATAAACTAAACCAACCCCCTCTTCCCACAATTAAACCAAATCACTGACCCCATAACTAAACCAACACACTGATCCCACAACTAAACTAACACACAGATCCCACAACTAAACCAACACACTGATCCCACACCTAAATCAACACATTCATCCCACAACTAAACTAACACACTCACCCCACAAATAAACAAACACACTCACCCCACAACTAAACTAACACACTCATCCCACACCTAAACCAACACATTCATCCCACAACTAAATGAACCCACTCATCCAGGAACTAAACCAACACACTCATCCCACACCTAAACCAACACACTCAACCCACATCTAAACCAACACACTCATCCCACACCTAAACCAACACTCTCAACCCACATCTAAACCAACACACTCATCCCACGCCTAAACCAAAACACTTATTCCACACCTAAACCAACACACTCATCCCACACCTAAACCAAAACACTTATTCCACACCTAAACCAACACACTCATCCCACACCTAAACCAACACACTCAACCCACATCTAAACCAACACACTGATCATATATCTAAACCAATACACTGATCCCACAATGCACAGATCCCACAGTAAACCACAACACTGGGTCTCACCAACTGCAACAGGTCCAAGCTGGATGCCTGCAGCAAATAATGGTCGTCCTCTGCCCTCATGCCTGTGACAATAACAACGTCCAGAAAGTTGATCAGCCGGCACACCATGTCTGCCACATTCTCGTCACATTCAGAAGCTGTAGCCTGTCCTGACTCCTGCCGGTTCATGTCACCAGCATCTCCACCGGATAAGCCTTGAGTCTGTGACAGGCTGCCTTCTGCTGCTACTGCCCTGTCAACATTCCAGTCAGACAACAAGGTTCAATGTTGGAAACATTATTAGTGTTCATCTTTCATTTAGTAGTTAACGCAGCTATGATGACCCAGGGCTTTTCAGATTGAAGGTTAAGAAAGATTTTTAGAGTATCATCTTCTTATACATAATCTGTATTGTCCTATTAAAAGGTGGTTGACATGTTGGTTGTTGGCTAACACCTAGGCTACGATAGCTGTGATATCTGCGCCTTTGGGCCGAAATATCTGATTTAAGCAAACTAATAATCAGTCTACTAATAAACTACAGACATTCATGCTGCCTGTGCAAATCAGAGGGAATTAAATGATATGACATAATAACTAATGAAGAGCTCAGGGGAAGAACAAAACAAGTTCCAGTGGACCAAGAGGTGAAGAAAAGACGCTTCTTTGGAAAGGATTCATACTGAACGACTGAACAAACAAAAGTTTATTTTCAAAGGGCCACAAACTGGGCATGCAGGCCAGTCTTAAATTTGGCTCTTCCTAGCCGCCAATTTCATCCAGCAGTTGTATTTTATCAATAAAGCAAACTATGTTCATAAAATAAAATGCACATGATGAGTATGAAGCAAAAACACAAAAGCATGGGTAGTAAAATTCATGCGCACACTTGCGCCTCCCAACACACACCCACCCACATACACACAAACCCACCAACTCACTTACACATGCATATATACATACAGATCCATTTACGTACATAATAATGATACAAACACATACACACACATATACACAAACGTACACACACATAGAGATACACAGACTCAAAGACAAACCAACACACACACATGCAACCACACAGATACATACACCGACACACATGTACAAACACATACATATACAAAATACCCGAAGATATACACAGACACACATGCACACAAGCAGGCACAGATACACATATAAACACACAGAGACACACACACATTCAGACACGCACAGAGATATGCAGGCAGACACCACACAGACACACAAACTTATACAATTACCCATGCAAACACTCATACATACACAGAATTATAATACACAATCACACCTACACATGCATACCTATCACACATATACATGTCACACATACCACACACACATATCAGACACGCTTTATTTAACTATAAATTGGTAATGCAATATACATTATTAATTGCATTTAAGGTGGCAAATAATCACGAGTGCAAAGATCTCCAGCAGGCTCTGCAGCTCGTCTTGCTTGTATACTCTCAGACTGCTGTTTATCACTTGATGTTATCCTCCTACTTGTATTGGCCAGACAACAAAATTTATATATCTAATCCAATGATATCAATATTTATGTCAGTGTCTGTGAAAAACCATGACGCTATTCTCCTAAGACAATTGATATGATTTGCTTTGAAAAGGATCTTTCACTGTACACAGATTCTTCCATACAATCCCCAGCCTCCTACCATAGACAACACAAAGAGAATCTCATCAGAGTGCACAAACTCCATACCCCTATGATCAAAGTGAGGCCCTTGGTCTCATGAGGTGCAATGGGCATATAGTGCTAGATCCACATTTGTAATAGATCAGTTCAGCACTTTTGGGCCAATTCTACCTCACCAATGTCAAACAGGGATTCTTACTGCAAGAAATGCTAAATGTAATTTAAAATGTGATCAGAAAACTCAATGGAGAGAATGAAAAAGATGCACACAAACACAACCGAATGTTTCAACCAAAGTCTTTATCAACGGAGTGCTAAATATAGCACAAACTGTGACTAGAAAACTGAATAGGCAAGAGAACATTAATATGAAGACTATAAGATGAAACAAAATAAATAAGAAGGCAATGCGAAAAGAGGGTAAGAAATATGAATAAGTTAAATAAATGACAAAGTAAATAAATTTAATATTTCTTGCAATCAGCTCAACTGCAGTCACCCTGATTACGACACCCTTACTGTAAGTAATAAAGGCAAGGTTAGTTGTGTATCCTTTACGGGACGTTGCAGAACCAACCCCAACAGCCCCTGGCTGTGGTGTGGTTTTTCTAGGCAAATAAATGTCCAGTAGTTTGCCATTGCTTTCTGGATGGTCGGCTTTCTTGATACCACTGTCGAAACCAACACAAGGTCCATGGTCCGCAGCTGGAATCGAACCCGGCATTACGAAGCATTCGCATCGACTTAGCCACTGAGAATAAAGGCAAAGCCATACCAAAATGAGGATTCATAGGAGAGCTGCCAGGTGACATGAGGAGATTATATTCAAAAGGAAAATTTAGAAGAAGACTAGGACTTAAACCAGTCATACAATTTATTAAAGAGCAACAGAAAGCTTGGCTATTTGATGACAACGGCCTGGTACCAACCGCTACACTGCAGAAATATAATGGACATGGAGCAAGGAGAAGACTGTGCAAAAGATGGAAGGAAGAACAACCTAAGAGACAAAGATCAACTTCTACAAAACATTAGAAAGAGCAAACTGAAGATCCTTGCGTCTCCCTCCAACACTTCAAGGAGATAACTTGAAGAAGAGAAGAAGATGCAGAAGAATTAACACTCAATGGGGGATGTCAACATCCTGTCAGCCTCTTTCCTTTCCCACAACCTTTTCTGATACCCATTTTAGGCTGGGTAAAACAAAAAAACTGTAGATTATTAGTGAGGGTTACCATCACAGCACTCTGGACAGACCTACAGGTGCTCCAATCATCTCCCCAAAAGCTCCACAAGCATAAAACATTTTGTCCCCTTAGTGAAATGTTCATTTCTTGCAGCTCCAGGTTGCTCCCCCATGTCCATCAGACTGGAACAGGGACACAGCACGCCCTTTGTCGTATTCGTGGTAAGTGCAGCACATAGCACTGACAACATTGCCATAGCAACCACAGTGTCTGCAAGATAATCTACACGCTCATTGCTTCAAAAATCTGCATGACCCAGCACAAGTTAGGCCTGACATTCATGAAGAGCTTAGTAATGCCACAGATGTCATAAAAAAAAAAAGTAAAGTTCCCTTTTCACGCCTCATAGCTGAGATGAATTTTTAAGGATTCAAATCCAGCTGGAGCCAAATTAAACACATGACCACCGGGTCAGCAGGCAAGTGTGCTGGCCACTACACTACCACAGCCCTTTCACACAATACCATCATGTGCCTTGCCGATAAGCACAGGGGGACATGGTTGCCATATTTGCTCACCAAAATCACAGATAGGATCAGTGCTGTTATCCTGTCCAATTCATCTAGTCAAGCTTTTCAGATATTTCTCTGATCTTCTCCTTGCATTTTTTTCATCAATCTTGCTAGCTGTCATCAAGTTAGTGAGTCCAATATTGATCTTGTCTTCTCCTTGCATTTTTCTCATCAATCTTCCCAGTTGTCACCAAGTTACTGAGTCTGTCCATTCCTTCTCATTACCTGTTCAAAACTTACTGACATCTAATGTCTCTGATCAGTTTAGGGTTTTCCTCTATCTCTTAGGGGCTGCGCGGTCTCAAGGCATAATGTCCGCCTCGAGTGCTAGAGGTCCTAGCGAAGGCTGGGATTTTTTTTCAAGTAGACTTGTAGAAATTTCCCCTAGTCTCTGGGTAATGAGATCAGACGCCTGTGTGTATTGTTGTGCACGTAAAACATCCCTTGGCAGTTGGAAATTAAAAAGAGTAGCCTAACGGCGCTACCCGGGCACAATTTTGAGTTTAAAATCTACAAAAAAATTTTCAGGACCCTCGCTGGTGCAACAGAGCCTGTGCACTGTGCTGAGCTGCTTCTGACTTAGACTTGAGTTGGAGGTGGAATGGAGCACTTATGGGTAACCCCTTGTTCGATGATGTTGATCCGTTGTTCAAACTTCAAACCTCTCTCTATCTCAAGAAGGCCTGCTTTATTAGTTTTTCTATCATTCCATGACATTCCTTTTTTGCTGTCAGCAGTTGACTGTGTTGGCTTGTCTGTTCTTTATCCATGTCTGCTGTATATAAAAAACACAGTTTCTATATAACACTTGAACATTCTTGTTCTTACTGCAGCTGATACACTGTTTAAAACCACACAGCTTAAAAAAAACTGATTCTACAAGAAAGAAGAAATCAACTAACTTGGCTGGTATGCATGCTGGTTTCAATCGCTCATCACGTGTCAGATTCTCAATGAGTTTCGTTAGGGCAGCAATACACATGGTCTGTAACAAAAGCCACTGTTACATTATCCAGCGTACTTGTTGTGAAGAGAACATATCATTCAAAACAGGGATGCATCATCATCATCATCAAATGTGGTGGTAGTGGTGCATCAGGGCCAAGGTTCAAACTGTTCAAGACCTATTTCCCAAACAATAGTCTGCACAATTTATTGCCTGGCATATTTCAATGTACCTCGTCAGGCGCATACTACAGTAACAATTACATAAATGAAGCAAATAAGTGAATCCTTTATAACCGAAGTACAAATTCAACAATAATCAAACATAACCGCCTGTTTGAAATGGCAGCCGCAGTGTCAGAATAATGTCTTTTTTGTTTATAAAGTTCAGGGCGGAGGTAACGAACTGGGGCTACTTCAGTAAATCTTAGCGTTCTGCCATTGGCTGACATCTTAAGGATTTAAAATGCACTGTTCCTGATTACAGTGCATCCAGATTTTAAACAGAATGTGTACTTCAGTTATAAAGTATTGACTTATTTGCTTCATTTATGTAACTGTTACTGCAGTATGCACCTCAGGAGATACAGCGAAATATGTCAAGCATTAAATTGTGCAATCTATTGTCTGTGTCTTCTTTGTTCAAATTTACAGCGGGGAAATATTTCTTTGACTATCTAGACCTCTTCATGGTCATCCTAGAAACAGATTCCCTACCTGGGGCCTAGCTGTGTAGATAGGATTAACATTTCTTTCAAGGTCAGATGGTATTTGCCTTATAGGCAAGGAATCGTCTGCACAAAATAAGCCAGACTTGTAAAAAAAAAAAAAACCAGATGTGCATGCAACAGTGAAGTCCTGCAATAAGATTAAATTCCAGACATGGATGACCAACTAGGACTTTCCGCCACTGAATACATAATAAGAATTCAGAACATTTTCCCCACTAAATGTAAGTAATGTGGTTAGGTTAGTTGCATATCCTTTACAGGACGTTGCAGAACCAACCCCAACAGCCCCTGGCTGTTGTGTGGTTTTTCTAGGCAAATTTACGTCCAGTAGTTTGCCATAGCTTTCTGGATGGTCGGCTTTCTTGATACCACTGGCCCGCAACTGGAATCGAACCCAGCATCCCGGCATTTGGAAGCGTTCGCATCGACTTAGCCAAAACAAAATGTAGCACAATTTATTGCCTGGCATATTTCTATGTATCTTATCAAGTGCCTTAGTAGTTTACATTATAACTGGGCATAAAGCATGAATCCTGTCAAGTGAAACACACAAATCAATCCCATGTTGCAAGTTACCATTACCATGGAAGTCTAAGATTAACAATGTGATCCTTTTGTTCACACAACAAGGAATCTGTTAAAATGATTTGTGTTTTGTACTTCATTGTATGGTTATGTAAACTCTGTATTAATGCACCCAATGGGATACAGGAATGTATATGTAAAACATGAACCCAAGGAACCTACCTTCGAGTACACATCTGAGGAGAAGAAGATCCTCTGGAGAGGTTCCAGGATGGAAGAGTGCAGTTCTAGGAAAAAAATATACAATTTTCAGTATATCTCTTTATCTGCATATGAATACAACCACACTCAAATCACTGTGGAACCTCGCACAAGTCACTGTACAACCTCACAAAAGTCACTGTACAACCACATACAAGTCACTGTACAACCTCACACAAGTTACTGTACAATCTCACAAAGGTCACTGTACAACCTCACACAAGTCCCTGTACAATCACATACAAGTCACTGTACAACCACATACAAGTCACTGTACAACCTCACAAAAGTCACTGTACAATCTTACACAAGTCACTGTACTACCACACACAAGTTACTGTACAACCTCACACAAGTCACTGTACAACCTCACACAAGTCACTGTACAACCTCACTATACTACCTCATATAAGTCACTGTACAACGTCACACAAGTTAACATACAACCTCCCACAAGTTACTGTACCAAAACATGTTACATTGAAGCACAACCTCACTCAGTTATTGTACATACCATTATACGAGGATGGCCTCAAACAGGAAATCAGTGAGAATATTAAGGGAGCATACGACTGGCCATCCCAGGTTGGCAACCAACTTTCCAGAAAGCCAAACAAAACAGGCAACCCCTGTCAGAAGAAATCAATATATTATCATCGACACTGTTACAGGGAGTCACCACTGTGTTGGCGGCTAGACGCCTGCCTGCGGATCGGAAGGTCGTGGGTTTGCATCCTGATGCAGAAATACTTTTTTCTTCAAAAATGACATTGACTCCCAGGTCCACCCAGCCTTGAGTGGGTACCAGCTGAAGTACTGGGAAGTAAAGGTGGTCGGCGTGATTGTGACCACATCATCCACCAAGTGCCGATTGGTCTTTAGAAATACAGGTCTAGCCCTATATACCCAATATGCCTAAAGGCGTGGAAAAGATCTTTTTTTTTTCTCACTGTTAGTTGTTATTATCATCATCATCATTTGCAAGCCCTTTACAAAATATCCTCTCATCAACAGCACTACATAAAATACAAAGATGATAACCATAAGCACAATCTAGTATATTCCAGACAAACTATAAACCTGATATAGTATAAACCTGAAAAAGCACAAAGAGCATATATATATAAAATTAAAAACCTGATCAATTATAAACCTGCTCAATTGCAAACCTGGTCAAGAATAAACCTGATGAATTAAAATACCTGATAACACATAAATCTTATGAGTTATAAACCTGATGAATTAAAATACCTGACAACACATAAATCTTTTGAGTTATAAACCTGATGAATTAAAATACCTGATAACACATAAATCTTATGAGTTATAAACCTGATGAATTAAAACACCTGATTACACAAAAATCTTATGAGTTTTAAACCTGATAAATTATAAACTGGTATTTTATAAATCTGATAAAACAAAAATCTGATCAATTACAAACTCAATCAATTATAAACTTAACCAAGTATACACCCGATTATTTGAAAAACAGAAAAAAAAGCATAAACCTGGTGAATTATAAACATAATAAAACCACAACTTACCTGGACATTTTTGGAAAATGTGAACAACATATGCAACAGTTTCTCATTCCTCTCCACACATCCCTTCTCTGTTCTCTTGAAACCTGAAATCGAGATACTTGCATCCCTAAGTTGTAAACATAAACAGCCTTTTAAAATCTTAGATCAAAATAATCATCATGAACATGTCCAAAAATTTTTTTTAAACTCCAGTCAAAAAAACATTATTACCAACCTCCAATTAAAGGTTTTTTATCTGATGGTCTTTGAAAACACAAAAGGGGGGAAGAGAGAAAGCCACAATACCATATAGTAACCCCACATCAAGGGTTAAAGAAGAAAGCCACAGCAAAATTATAAAATAACCACCCACCCAAAGCTAGAAGAGGAAAGTGACAGCAAGATTATAAAACAACACCCCACCCAAAGGTAGAAGAGAAAAGCCACAACAAGATTATAAGATAGATATCCACCCACACAGGGTAGCAGAAGAAAGCCACAACAAGTTCATAAAGTAACCCCACACCCAGGGTAGCAGAGGAAAGCCACAAGTTCCTAAAGTAACCCCACACCCAGGGTAGCAGAGGAAAGCGACAACAAGATCATAAAAGTTGGCAAAGTGAGAATACCAAATGTCCACACCTAAAGACACTGGTTCTCGTCCCAAATCTTTCATAAACTAATCGTGCCACTTAAATAAGTAGCTGCCTTTATTTTCCCGGGTATTTCCTTGCATCTATTATAGGCTGGATCAACCTGGACAAGCTGGAGAATTTTTAAACATCGGCCTCAATGGTTAAAGGAACAGACAATCATTCAGCCAGCAAGTATTTAATACAGGAGTAAATAAAAATCAACAATAAAACCAAACATGAACACACATTACTACTATCATTAAAGAAGCACAAATAAGACCTGAATAGATAGATGGGAACACAGATGTGAGCAGACAGGCATCAGCAGATAGATATAAATAGACAGGCTTAAACAGACAGGCATGAACACACAGACAATCATGAACAGACATGGACAGACAGACAGGAAAAGACAGAAATCTACCTATCAAAGATAAATATGTGCTGTATCTAGAAACACAGACCTAAACAGACAGAAACAGATATCCAGACAAACACGAACAGACAGACATGGACAGGCAGACATGAACGGACAGACATCTACCTACCAAAGACATTTATGTGCTGCATCCACAAACATAAACAGACAGACACTGACCAAAATTAACAGACAAACATGGATAGACAGAAACAGAAACAGACAAACATAAACAGACAGATATGAAGTCACAAATTTACCAAAGACAAATATGTGTTGTATCCAGAAGCAGAGACGAGCCATCAACAAGGGGTCAGGATTACAGGTAAGCAGCAGCTGGAGTCGAGTGTCACCCAGGCATGCCGCTACTTGGCTCGGGAACTGCAAGACAAAGTACACTTGTCAGTCCTCTCCTGTGTACATACTATAATAGTCATCCTATGAAATTCTAAAAGAAAACACGCTGTAAATTATCCTTCCTGTGAAATGCTTAAATAAAACACTGAATAATATTCATCCTATAAAATTCTAAAACAAAACTTGCTGTACATTATTCATCCTGCGATATGCCAAAAGAAAAAAACATTAAACATTATTCAACCTGTGAAATGCTAAATTAAAACACATTGTAAATTATTTATCCTATGAGACACTAAAGGAAAACATACTGTACGTTATTCATCCGGTAAAAGCTGAAAGAAAACCTATTAGGCAGAAAAAATAAAATCATTACCTCAACCTTGTCAATGGCCTCAAGGAAGCCGGTGAACGACTCAATCTGTGTGTAGGGGATGGTATTTGTGGCATCTATCAAAGACTCGGATGTTTCACCAGACTTATCTTCTATCTCATGGGCAGCAGTGTGAGACTCTGGGATCATCAGCTTCTGTCGTTTGGAGCGCTGTCACAATAAACATACATGATAAACAAATTGTAATGTACTCATTAGATTCAAAGATGCTGAAGACCCAAATAGAGACAGAAGAACACAGTAAACACAAAAAGTGAAAGCTTAAGCTACCAGACCAAGGACTGCACATGTCATGTCACTTCCAGATGACTGCAATTTGCAGCAGGAACAAGGGTGCTTTATTAACATCCTACCCCAGATGACGTCACAGGACAGTCCAACATTTTGGAGGGTGGTAATACTTGGTTTCCTGGCTTTCTGATGCTTTTAATGACCCCAAAAGATCTAGAACTGGTCCTAAACCCTGAAAAATCCTGATAATATTTGTTTCCTGCAAGAGTTGTAAATAAGGTCCCTCTGGACGTAACATACTCATGGGTTTAGTTATTTCTTCTTCTTCTGTTCACCGGCTGTAAACTCTGGTGGAAAGTTCTGGTTGTTCGTCCACTTTAGGACTTTAATCCCGTTCCAGACTTTGAATTTTGTGTGCACATCCATTTAACAGATATGACTTATCTGTATGCAGACTGTTGGTTCCTTGCCTCTCAAGCAGATGCACTCCAACTTCGACACCCCATTACTGTTCTCTCTAAACCATTAGCTCATTAATAAGTCCCAAGTAATTGTTTTTTGAGAAATTATACTGTGTATCATCATCATCATCATGAAGTGCCTTGCAAGCTGGCGTAGGTGTTCACGCATGTCCACAGATTTCGGTCTTTGGTGGTCTGGATCAATTCCATTGATGATATTCCTCCATGCCGCTGTCTTCAGTTATCCAACATCATTTGAGAATGTACAGAATGCCAGTATTTTCCCTGTTCTTGGTCCTTGAAACTCTGGAGAATCTTCCCGTAACATTTACATTCTTCTTCTTCGTGTTCACCAGCTGTAAACTCTGGCATAAAGTTCTGGTTGTTTGTCCACTTTAGGACTTTAGTCCCGCTCCAGACCTTGAGTTTTGTGTGCACAACCATTTGACAGATATGGCTTATCTGCAGACTGTTAGTTCCTTGCCTCTCAGGTAGATATTTTCCTACTAATTTTGAAAGAAAAACTCCTAATCAGTTTTCTTTTACAACATGTTTGTCGGTGGGGGATGTGGGCGGGCAGTGGGTCTATTCTCCCTCCCTAAAATGGGGTAACAGAACCCACAGGAGGAACGATAACATTTAAAAACCCCAAATTTGTGTCTGCTTGCAAAATAGACTATGTTGCCATAGTCTGCTGACATTGCATATTGAGCTTCTTCTTCAGCGATCTCTGGTCATGCTCATAATCCACTGTGGGAGATAAACTGTGATGTAATCTCAAGGTCTGTTAGGTTTTCCCAAAGCTTAGCTGTCAGGTCTACTTGGTGTGGCCACATGTTGCTCCGCAGCTCAGTTAAGAAAAGACAGTCTTGCAAGACATGTTCTGCAGTCTGGTCTGTTCAACACAGGGACACTGACACAGAGCTGTTTGGCTCATTCCTAATTTATATGAGTGTTTGTTTAGTCTGCAGTGTCTACTGTGTAAGTGCAAAACACTGACCTGGTCAATTCTGTTCAGGTGTTTGAAGAAATCTTTTCATGATTACAGACTGTGCATGTTTTCCAGTCTGTTTCTGATTTTTTTCTTAATGAGGGTTTTGACTTCTGGAAAACATAGTGCTAGTAGATTTGTAGTTTGCTGCTGCCTTTCTTTGCTAATTCATTGATGCCACAATGAGATTAAATCCACTGCAGGTGGGTTTTTGCCTTTACTGACAACTCAAGTTCCTTTGTTAGACACATGATGCTGCAGGACCTACTGTTCATTGTTAATCTTCATCGCACATTGGACATGACCATACGTGCTCCAAACTCCTCCTGAGTATGCTTCAAGTGTTTTTAGGCTAACAACTCCCATTCTGTTCTGGCTGATGTAACAACAGGTGGCTCTCACATGGTTTTCCTGTCTTGCAGCTCTAGGCACACCCAGGGTATGCAGTCTATTCAGTGAAAAATCATTTTCCACGAAACTGAAAGACTCACAGTTGTTAGTCTCTCACACGGCAGTGATGATGTCTCTTCTGTCCATAGAGGGTCCATTCCTGATAACCGCAATGCCAGCTAGAGCATCTGCTCTCTCACTGCCTTTCACACCATCATAGCCTGGGACAAAAATTAACCCATTAAAAAAAAAAACCTTACCGGTTGTATTCTAGCTTTCTCTCGTCGATTCTGTATCTCGCTGACTTTGCATCTTGTGTCGACATCATCTGTGACCTCCCTCTGTTTGACAATTGTTTCTATTGTGGATCTCCATGTGGCATCATGAGCTTTGAAAAATACCTAAGTGGGTTTTTAATGGAGAGAACTGTGTTAACAACACAAAATTGTTTATCAGACTCCAGCTAAACCAAATAGAATCCCTTCTTCTCTTCCTTCTGGCCTTCACTCTTAAAAGGGAGGCTGGCACAGTGTGTTGTATACAGCTAGGCTGAGATATCTGTACCTTTCAGCACAACACATTTGATTTCAGTAAACCTTTAGGCGCATTTTATTATGTTTTGGGACAGTAGATCTATTTCGCCCCAAAATGGTGCTCCAGAAACCATAGAGGGAACAATAATCAGTGATGACATTAAACTTTTAAAAATGAAATCATTTAATGATAATTTAACTTTTTTGATTATCAAGAAACTCACCACACATTTCCAGGTCACCTCAAAGATAACATTCAGATCTTGCAATCTTTTACGACAGAAAGCAGTTTTACTTTAACTCCCTGTCAGTTTAACTCTATTGACCTGCCAGGGCTTTGTAAACAAAATGGATCTTGGCCTGGTGGGAATTCTACTCAAACAATTATTTAAAGCAAAACAACAATTTTATGCAGGTCACTAATATTTTTAGTTTTTTAATTTATTCATCTAATTTTGTAAAACTTGTTGAAAAATTTAAAGGTATATATAGGGTGTTTTATAGACGAATAATGAGAAAACCCTGGACAGACAAAAAGAGTAATTAAGATGTCTTGAAAAAAACTGACTCACGAAGAGAACTGATTGCCCACATCAGAAAGAGACAATCTACATTCTTTGATCATGTGATGAGAAAAGAGAAAAATAGAGTGCATCGTGACAGTAGGACAGCTGGAGGGGAGGAGAGGCAGATGGAGATCGAGAGAATATATGCTGCACAGTTTGACATCATGGCATGGAGAATGATATGTGTCGGAATTGATTGACATTACGCAAGACAGAAAGTTGAGAATAGACATGACTACCAATGCCACAATGCATGGACTTTAAGAAGAAGAAGATATATAGGGAGTAATCAATAAACATGAACAGAGTGAAGCATGAAATGGAATATATTCCCCAGGGTCTAAACAAATAAATTTGCATTGGGCGACTCATTCCATGACCCTGTGACCATTATCACTGAGGCTGCGGGAAAACTGTATGTCAATAAATGCTTTTAAAAAGCCTTTGAACTTAACACTGTGCAAGCACTAACAGAACCAATGATATTAATCTACATTTCTCAAAAACATGTCACTGAAGATGTACCAGTTGTATGGCCTTTACAAGAATGTGAAAATGACAGAAAGGCCAGGTTTGGAGCTTCTCAATGATGGGTTAACTCCCGCTGTCTGAAGATGTCACTTGTAAAACTTCTTCGGACCAAAAATAATACAACTTCAAGAACAATTTTTTTCAGCGGGTGTGAGATTGACCCCAACATCACCACCCAGTGCCGATTAGTGTATAAAACATTGGACGTACTATATGCCCAATATGCCTGAAGGCATAGAAAAGAGTCCTTTACAACTATTTTAGAACAGAACCATTTCTTTGAACAGAACTTCTTAGAACACAACAATTTGCAGTCCCGAACTTCGTAGAACAGAACAATTTTTATAATATAACTTCTCAGAGCAGATAAACTTATTAAAACACAACTTTCTTGAAAAAAAAACACAAATGGTATTGATGAACTTCTTATTAGAACAGTATAATTTCTTTTAAAGCAACTTCCTAGAACACAACTTTTTTTCAGAATAGAACTTCACAGACAAAAACAGTTTAAGTACCAACTGACTGGGACACAGAGAGTTCTGGTGTTAAAAGATATTCCAAGATGAGAGGATCAATTCCATTGCATAAGTTTTATCCCACATGGGGCTCAGTCTCTCTCCGCAGAGAGGCTGGCTGCCAACTGAAAGCATCAATGCTGCAGCTACAGATTCTAAAAACAAATTCACTCACATGTGCCAATACCAACAGTCCTTCACTAGAATTGCTGTTTATCAATGAAGGTAGCAGCAGCCATGATACACAAGCAGTTGCACACACAATGATTCAAGGTGAAAGGATTAACTCTTTCTGCAGAGTGTTAACTCCTTCTACAGGGTGTTTACCCATTTTGTTTTGTTGACCTTGCTGAACAAAGCATTAACTATGCGGCCTCACTGAAGACTCTCAGAGATCTCAACAACAATAAATTCCACTCATGAAATCAAGCTAAACAACTGGAGTGTAAACAGAACAAAACAAATACCTTGTGGTTGAATTCCAGCTTCATGGAGACCAAGTGAGGGGAGTAAACCTTGTAGATCATCAGCAAACCCATGATGTAGGGTTCTGGGCCCTGTTGAATAATGGTAAACATCATAAAAAGTAAAGTAAAGGACCCTTTTTCCACGCCTTTAGGCGTATAGGGCATATAGGGCTAGACCTATATTTTTATAGACCAATCGGCACAAGATGAGTGATGTGGTCAGCATCACACCGGCCGCCTTTAATTTCCCAGGACTGCACCCGGTACCCACTCAAGGCTGGGTCAACCTAGGAGCCAAGGTCATTTTTGAAATAAGTCCGGCTCCGCCAGGGAGCGAACCCACGAAACATCATAATACCTGCTAATTAAATGATTTTTTTCTTTTTCTTCTTCTTCTTCTTTTCCTCTTCTTCTTCTTCTTCTTATTCTGCTCCTTCTCTTCTTCTTCTTTTCTTCTTTTTTTTTTCCTCCTCCTCTTCTTCTTCTTCTTGTTCTGCTCCTTCTTTTCTTCTTTTTACGTGTTTAACCAAGGATGTATTTGCGTTTAGCCCATTTACAGCATGGACTGCACTATTTGCATCTCTCAGTCTTAACATCTTACTTCTGATGGTATTTCTTCCACAGGTTGGCCTTCCAAGTGATAGTTAAATTAAAGTTAATGACAAAGACTCTGATGGTTAGTTGCATATCCTTTACAGGACGTTGCAGAACCAACCCCAACAGCCCCTGGCTGCTGTGTGGTTTTTATAGGCAAATTTACGTCCAGTAGTTTGCAACTGCTTTCTGGACGGTCGGCTTTCTTGATACCACTGTCGAAACCAACACAAGGCACATGGCCCGCAGCTGGGATCAAACCCGGCACCCCGGCATTACGAAGCGTTCGCATCAACTTAGCCACAGAGCCGGCTTTGACTCTCATGGCTTAATGTAAAAAAAAAAGTAATCCCGTAATCTCGTAAAACTGGCGGTTAAATGTAAGTACAACTGGGGGTTAAATGTAAGTACATGTGATGGTTATATAAGTACATCTGATAGTTAAAAATAAATACAACTGATGGTTAACTGTAAGTACAACTGATGTTAAATGTAAGTACAACTGATGGTTAAATGTAAGTACAACTAATGGTTAAAAATAAATACAACTGATGGTTAAATATAAGTACAATTGATGGTTAAATGTAAGTTACAACTGAAGGTTAAATGTAAGTACAACTGATGGTTAAATGTAAGTAAAACTGATGGTTAAATGTAAGTATAACTGATGGTTAAATGTAAGTACAACTGATGGTTAAATGTAAGTACAACTGATGGTTAAATGAAGGTACATGTGATAGTTAAATGTAAGTACATACGATTTTAAAATGTTAGTACAACTGATGGTTAAATGTAAGAACAACTTATATTAAATGTAAGCAAATTTGATGGGGAAACGCCTCCTCTTTTAAAATTACGAAAGATTTCATGAATGGTTAATTCTCTCTAGCTAAAAGATTTTATGAATGGTTAATTATCTCTCTAGCTAAAACATTTCATGAATCGGTAATGATCTCTCCAGCTAAAAGACTTCATGAATGAGAAATTCTCTCATCTAAACCTACAACAGATTTTATGATCTCCAACAGCTTGTGAACTCGGAACAACCTGATGTCACGCTTGGTGGTCAGCAGAAACAGCAGGTGGCAGGCGTGTGGCAACTGTGGAAGAAATCAAAATGGTATCAGTCACATTGTCACACAAGTACAGGCAATACAGAGCAAGATATTGGTAACAGTGTGCGACACTCTTGGCTGGTGCCGAGAGGCCGAGCGGTATGGAATAAAACCTGGTGCAAAAAAGTTGATCCTCTCGGCTCTAACCTTTCTGATTCTAATCAACTGATATTTTTTTTTACCTCGTCTGTTTTTTTTTTTTTTGGTCACTAAAAGATTTGTTGACACTTTCCTCAGCAACATGAACACAGACTTGATCTGAGATTCTGGTGATTGTGGGAGGTGGTAACTATGATCACTCTTGCTTATCTGCATGGCACATAATGATGATGATAGAAATTAAAACCGCTATGTACAGAAGTTTAAGCATCTATGTATAGATGTTAAAACACCTATATATATAAGTTTAAAAACCCATGAACTGAAATAAAAATGCCCATGAACTGAAATTAAAATACCCATGTATATAAGTTTTAAGGAAAAAAAACGAGGTGGTTAAAACTTCCAAGTGAGGAAGTTAAAAACCCCTTAACAGAAGTTAAAAACACTTATATACAGATGTTAAAACATTTTATAAGTTTAAAAACCTATGTGAGGAGGTTAAAACCGGCTTTGTGAAGAAGTTGAAAAACCCATATACAGATGTTGAAACACCCATGTACAAAAGTAACAACAAACACTTAGACCAGCTTTTCCCAAACTTTTCTTAGACGCAGTGCCTTTTTTTTTTCAATTACAATTTTTCCACGGCGCCCTAACCTAAGTAAAAGTATGACTATTCGTATGTGAGAGATTAAAAAAAAAATAATAATAATAAAACTCATGTATCTTTAAATAAAGCGCACAGTTTAGGAATCACTGACATATACAAATGCAGCCACTCACCAGACGATGTGAGTTGAGGAAACAAAACACAACACTGTACAGCTTGTGCAGCTGATCGTAGCCATCAATGTGATCAAAAACGAGCAGGACCCAGCGTAGAAGCCAGCTCTATGTAGAAGAAGAAACACACAATTGACTATATGAATCCATATACACACATAAATACATACATATATAAATATAAAACTAGAAATGTCCTGCACCAATGAAACTTTCAATGACCTAGGAAGGTCAACAGGATCAAAAACAATCATAAAGAAGTTGGAAGTTTCTACAGCTTTTTGTAATGGATAGAACAAAATTATGCTGAAACTAACTGAAACAAATTGTGGATGGATGAAGAAGAATAAGAAGACATACACCTCAGAGTTGGCATTCTTCTTCTTTCTCTTCCCGATCATCAGCTGTAAAAGCTTGTGGAAAGCGCTGGCTGTTCATCTTCTACTGGTGGCCTTGATCCAGAAAATTGAGTTCTGCATGCACAACCGTTTTACCAATCAGATTTAAATGTATGCAGAGTGTTGGTTCCTTGCCTCTCAAGCTGAGGCCTAATTAGTTACCTCCTACAACAAGCTTATTAAGGGGGCAGTGGGTCTATTCACTGTTCTCCAGAAAGCCATGGAGCCCACATGGGAAGAGTATGTATGATTACAAATAAAAATATTTCTTAAAGTATTTATGCCTGATCATAAGAATCAACATCCTATGGTGCGGTTCATACACCATACAGGGCTCACATATGATCTCTGTTTTCCACTCTATCCTGACCATTTTTCACATCCATTCTGACATATTCAGTCTCCCTCTCTCATCAAAGTTCATATTACAGTTTCTTTTGGACATCTTGTTTCCTTAGTCTATCTGTTTTCCATTTCAATCCTTAAGCCTTTCACCCTGGTGACCTAGGAAAAAGAACAATGCCAATCACCTGTATTTTTTAAATGTTGGATTTTCCCTATAAAAAACCAAAACAAAAAATTTTTTATCAAGTTAAAAAAAAAATTCCTAAAATATCAAATGCGGATATAAAGAAAGAAAATTATACACTGATAAAATGGAGTACTTAGCAGAAATGAATGCAGCAGAAAGTCAACTGGGTTACATCTTCCTGAGATTAAATAAAGTTAATACCATGCAAATTTTGCCAGTTAAGCATGTCTCATAACCAAAAGTACCAGTTTTGGTTTTCTAGGGGCAAAATGGTGCAATAACAAACTATTTTGTCTCAGGGTATCTATGTTTAAAATTAACAACACAATGTGGCCATGTCAGACCCCAAGTTCCATAACAGTATCAAGGACATATGAGCAAAACTTACATGTAGATTGGAAGGCCCTGGGCTGGTAAATATTCTGGAACTGATGTGCGCCAGCACTTGAACTACAGCTTCCTGCGGAACTTTGCTGGACGGAATCAAACATTTGATAAACTTGGTGCGGATGGCCTGTGCTGGAAACAAACACAGGATTGACTTCACATACAAAAGCTACTATAGTAAAACCTCATTAACATGAACCCATTTAAGAGGAATATTTGATCATCATGAACAAAAGTTTTGTCTTAGCAGGGATGTGTTATTTATTATTATTTTGTTTTTTAGCATCAATCAATCACACAGTAAAGGTTGGCTGCAATGGATCTCCAACACGCTTTGTCATTTTTTCCTTGGTTGTACACTCTCACAGTCTGCTGCCCGTCCATCTCCTGATGTTGTCCTCCCACTTATATCGTTGCCTACAACTTGCTCTCTTGCCTTCGACCTTTTCCCTCCAGTATGCTATTTGAAAGTATGTTCTGTCTTTTAATGTGGCCAACACTTTTCAATTGTCACTTTCTTATTTCTTTCAGTAATTCTCTTTTAATTTGTATCTTTTCCAGAATCTTTTCTGTATTGGACTGTTTTTCTTTCCATAAAATACGTCCTATTCTTCTGTATACACACATTTTTAGTACACATTTTTAATTAAGACAAACTCGATTTTTTGAACCTGAGAATATGTGTTTAACAAGGTTTTTACAGTATTTGTCTGAATACGTTGGGTGTTCCTTTAGCAAATACTGCAGCTGAGGTGTGAAGGATAAGGCCTTTAGATATGCTAGGATGTCACATATCAGGTGGAGTTGCTAGTTCAGTTCCTCCTTGTCATTCATTAGAACTTCTAGCCCAAAATGGCAGAGAGGCTAGAAGTCTGTTTAAGCCTTGAAGTGCTGTAGGCTTTTGGCCACAGTTTGCTTTTGCAGTCCATGACTGAGATGCTTAAGCTACTGAGTTAAGTGCTTGGTGCAACACTAAAAATTTCAAATGGAATGTCTTTTTTTGTCTGTCTGTAGCTATTAGTGATGCCATATATAGACAGACAATGCTGGGTGGCCGGTTTGGGTCATAGCTCGCTGAAGTGCCTTATGCAATAAATATTGCATTTGCAGGGGCACTTATTGTTACTGACTACTTTCGTCAACGATAAAGTACAATTCTGGCAGTGACTATTTGTGTTGGCACTTCTAGTTGAGGCCTTATGCACTTAATGTCATTCATTCCTTTAAAAAAAATTACCAGAAAATTCTTAAAATGATCTACAACCCATTTTAATGAAGCGGGTGAAGCCGTAGAGATGAGATAAAATAATCCTACCATGCCCAGTACTGACTGTGGACTAGTTTCTTATCTTTTTCTTCTTCAGCATTCCGATCCCTTGAGGTGCATTGCTGCAGATATCACCCGCCTGTGGTAATCTAAACACTATGCCATTGCGGTTTTTTACTTGTGTATGAAAAGTAAACGTTTGTACGGGTCAATTTAAACTCATTTAGATCAGTCCATCTGAACTCAAACAGGTCAATTTTAAGTCAGACAGGTCAATTCTAACACATTTAGACCAGTTAATTTGATAAATTTGTTCATGTGATCTTCACAATCCATCCACTTAGAACAATAAGCACAAACTATCCTCACAGTTTAACTCAGACAATTTATCTACAGATTGACTCTGACAATTTTGGCAATAATCTAAGACAACTTCTAGAATGTACAGACACACTCAGCTGTCAAAACATATCCACACAACTCACTTGTCACAACACATCAATAAAACTCAAATGTCACAACACACCCACACAACGCAACTATCACAACACATCCACACAACTCAACTGTCACATATCAATGCATCACTTACATAGTTTGCTACTGGAGTCAAGTATTACGTTGACCAAAGTTGTAATCTGTCTCGGATTAAGTCCAACACCCATGGAGTGCCGAGTGATCTCATCCACAGCCAGATGAAGCTTCACATTTCCTCTCAAGGATGTAGTCGGGTCCACTGTTCATACAGACAACAACAAACAAAAACCATCAGTGATCTTTTCTAGCCTAATTGTAAGCTGTAGACTGTCATTGTAAATGGTCCCTTTTCAACAACTCCAGGCACACTGGGCATATTATAGGGCTAGATATTTAGTTAATAGACCAGCTGGATCTTGGTGGGTGATGTGGTTAGCACCATGCAAGCCGTCTTTACTTCTCTGAATGGTACCCATTTAGGGCTGTGCTGACCTAGAAGTCAAGGTCATTTTTGTACAAAGTCTGGTTCCGTCAGGACCTAAACCCACGACCTCCCGATCCGCAGGCGAGCTCTAGCCACTATACTGTACACCAGACTGTCCTTGTACCTCTTTTTTATCTACAACTTACAGTTAGTGTGATGTGTAAGGTATACACTGTTCCTGTGTCTCTGATTTATGTATAGCTTATGGTATGTTAGTGTGATGTGTAAGGTACACACTGTTCCTGTATATCTAATTTATGTATAGCTTATGGTATGTTAGTGTGATGTGTAAGGTACACACTGTTCCTGTATATCTAATTTATGTATAGCTTATGGTATGTTAGTGTGATGTGTAAGGTACACACTGTTCCTGTATATCTAATTTATGTATAGCTTATTGTATGTTAGTGTGATGTGTAAGGTACACACTGTTCCTATATATCTAATTTATGTATAGCTTATGGTATGTTAGTGTGATGTGTAAGGTACACACTGTTCCTGTATATCTAATTTATGTATAGCTTATGGTATGTTAGTGTGATGTGTAAGGTACACACTGTTCCTGTATATCTAATTTATGTATAGCTTATGGTATGTTAGTGTGATGTGTAAGGCACACACTGTTCCTGTATATCTAATTTATGTATAGCTTATGGTATGTTAGTGTGATGTGTAAGGTACACACTGTTCCTGTATATCTAATTTATGTATAGCTTATGGTATGTTAGTGTGATGTGTAAGACCGTAGACTGTTTATCTATCTTAGATTTACAACTTAAGGCATGTTAGTGTGATGTGTAAGACTGTAGACTGTTTATCTATGTTAGGTTTACAACTTATGGTATGTTAGTGTGATCTGTAAGACTGTAGACTGTTTATCTATGTTAGGTTTACAACTAATGGTATGTTAGTGTGATATGTAAGACTGTAGACTGTTTATCTATGTTAGGTTTACAACTTATGGTATGTTAGTGTGATATGTAAGACTGTAGACTGTTTATTTATCTAAGGTCAAGGTCATTTTTGTACAAAGTCTGGTTCCGTCAGGACCTAAACCCACGACCTCCCGATCCGCAGGCGAGCTCTAGCCACTATACTGTACACCAGACTGTCCTTGTACCTCTTTTTTATCTACAACTTACAGTTAGTGTGATGTGTAAGGTACACACTGTTCCTGTATATCTAATTTATGTATAGCTTATGGTATGTTAGTGTGATGTGTAAGGTACACACTGTTCCTGTATATCTAATTTATGTATAGCTTATGGTATGTTAGTGTGATGTGTAAGGTACACACTGTTCCTGTATATCTAATTTATGTATAGCTTATGGTATGTTAGTGTGATGTGTAAGGTACACACTGTTCCTGTATATCTAATTTATGTATAGCTTATGGTATGTTAGTGTGATGTGTAAGGTACACACTGTTCCTGTATATCTAATTTATGTATAGCTTATGGTATGTTAGTGTGATGTGTAAGGTACACACTGTTCCTGTATATCTAATTTATGTGTAGCTTATGGTATGTTAGTGTGATGTGTAAGGTACACACTGTTCCTGTATATCTAATTTATGTATAGCTTATGGTATGTTAGTGTGATGTGTAAGGTACACACTGTTCCTGTATATCTAATTTATGTATAGCTTATTGTATGTTAGTGTGATGTGTAAGGTACACACTGTTCCTGTATATCTAATTTATGTATAGCTTATGGTATGTTAGTGTGATGTGTAAGGTACACACTGTTCCTGTATATCTAATTTATGTATAGCTTATAGTATGTTAGTGTGATGTGTAAGGTACACACTGTTCCTGTATATCTAATTTATGTATAGCTTATGGTATGTTAGTGTGATGTGTAAGGTACACACTGTTCCTGTATATCTAATTTATGTATAGCTTATGGTATGTTAGTGTGATGTGTAAGGTACACACTGTTCCTGTGTCTCTGATTTATGTATAGCTTATGGTATGTTAGTGTGATGTGTAAGGTACACACTGTTCCTGTATATCTAATTTATGTATAGCTTATGGTATGTTAGTGTGATGTGTAAGGTACACACTGTTCCTGTATATCTAATTTATGTATAGCTTATGGTATGTTAGTGTGATGTGTAAGGTACACACTGTTCCTGTATATCTAATTTATGTATAGCTTATGGTATGTTAGTGTGATGTGTAAGGTACACACTGTTCCTGTATATCTAATTTATGTATAGCTTATGGTATGTTAGTGTGATGTGTAAGACCGTAGACTGTTTATCTATCTTAGATTTACAACTTAAGGCATGTTAGTGAGATGTGTAAGACTGTAGACTGTTTATCTATGTTAGGTTTACAACTAATGGTATGTTAGTGTGATATGTAAGACTGTAGACTGTTTATCTATCTTAGGTTTACAACTAATGGTATGTTAGTGTGATATGTAAGACCGTAGACTGTTTATCTATCTTAGGTTTACAACTAATGGTATGTTAGTGTGATATGTAAGACTGTAGACTGTTTATCTATCTTAGGTTTACAACTAATGGTATGTTAGTGTGATATGTAAGAATGTAGACTGTTTATTTATCTTAGGTTTACAACTTATGGTATGTTAGTGTGATATGTAAGACTGTAGACTGTTTATCTATGTTAGGTTTACAACTAATAGTATGTTAGTGTGATGCGTAAGACTGGGACTGTTTATCTATCTTAGGTTTACAACTTAGAGCATGTTAGTGAGATGTGTAAGACTGTAGACTGTTTATCTATCTTAGGTTTACAACTTATGGTATGTTAGTGTGATCTGTAAGACTGTAGACTGTTTATCTATCTTAGGTTTAAAACTTATGGTATGCTAGTGTGATGTGTAAGACTGTAGACTGTTTATCTATCTTAGATTTACAACTTAAAGTATGTTAGTGTGATGTGTAAGACTGTAGACTGTTTATCTATCTTAGGTTTAAAACTTATGGTATGCTAGAGTGATGCGTAAGACTGTATACTGTTTATCTATCTTAGGTTTAAAACTTATGGTATGCTAGAGTGATGCGTAAGACTGTATACTGTTTATCTATCTTAGGTTTAAATACTATGGTATGTTAGTGTGATGTGTTTGTCTATCTTAAGTTTATCTAACAACTTATGGTATGTTAATGTGATTTAAAGTTGTAGACTGTTCTTCTGTCTCAGTTGTAGATGTGACTGGTATCAAGTTGTAGACTACCAGGTATTTTTAGTCCACTATGTGATTTAGTTGATGAACAAGGGAAAACAGCAAACTTACAATGTGAGAAAAAATTTAAAGCATTCTCCAAGTTTCTGTTGTGTTGTGCTACTGAATCAGGCTGATGAGCGACATTGCTAATTGAATCCACTGCAACTGCAACAGCAGCCATTGCTGGAAGGATCTGTTATAAAACAAATTTATTCAAGGTGTAACAAAAATTTGCATCAACTTGTGTTATTTTAAAGCCCATCATGGCTGTCATCAGGGGCCCTAATATAAACTAATGGTTAAGCAAGGTTTCTGGGACTTTTACATAGGGGATCCTCATCTGAATGATTTTACTTTGTGTCACCGGGTGTTAATTGCTTGTTACGTGGTCCTGGTGGGGTTGTACATCAACACTCACTGGTAACAATAATATCATCCAATATGAACTATTCCCTTCACTTGTACAACTTTGAGTGGATTATTGTGTGATAAATAAGAGAAGTAACGAGGCGTGATCAGTTCCCTTCTATAAGTGCAAGCCGGTAATGATTACGAACACACTGAAGAGGGTACAACAAGATATTTTCCTCCTCGTCGCCTCACTGTTGAGCCTTTATATGGGCAGCTCGCATTGTAGTTCTAGTACCTGGTAATATTTGCATAATACAGCTTCTGTATTACAGGCATAAGGTTTACAGTAAGCATGCAGCGAGTGTTCTTTTGTTATGTTTGAGACGTAAAACCAAATGGTGTATTTGTAATAAATGGTAAACAGTAATAATAAACAGTCTTGGTCTTGGTCGGAGTTTCAACTTCACTGCAATCGGGTTTCCCCATACTTGCTCCGCTCCTATGCCAGTGAGAATCAAATGAAATGTCCCTCACTGTCCCATTTTTAAAAAATGGTGAACAAACAATTAGTCCAGAATAGTCCTGAAATTTGTGCACGCAGTAAATGCATATCACCATCATCATCAGTTCTCGTTATGCCTAGTGGCACATGAGGCTTCAGAGAGGACTTTCCATGCTTTCCTGTCCTGTGCAATCTTCAGTGCAGTTTTCCATGTCAAAGATGCCGCACTCAGGTCACTTTCCATCGTTCGTCTCCATGTTGTTTTTGGGCGCCCCTGTTTTCTCTTTCCCTCTGGTGTCTATGTGAGAGCTGTTTTGGCAGGTATATCAGAATTCATTCTCATAATGTGGCCAAAGAATTACCATCTTCTCTTGGTAATTATACTGTCTAAAGTTCCTTGGTTTGTGACTTGAAGTAGTTTAGTGTTTGAGATTGTATCTAGCTAGAAAATTTTGATAATTCTACGTAGACGTGTGGGGTGAAAGGTGGACAGCTTGTGTGCATCCTTTTTGGTCATGCATAAGTAAATGCATATGGCAGACACTAAAGCCATCAGTGGCCACCAGAAATGCAGGAAGTAGGCAGGCACGATAAGTTGGTGATACATACAAAGAATTATTACATAAGGTATTTTACCAGCTCACATGTAAACTGGCTACCAGCCATATTAAATACCAGGACAGAACTGCTGGACAAATGAAAGGCATTCCACATGAAAAACACGGCTCCCAGGGCTGCACCAAGCACTAAACTCAGTAGCTCAGACAGCAAAACCGTGGACTACCGTCTATTTGTGGGAACTTCATTAGCAAAGTGCTGTCAAAAGCAAAAATAACTTTGAAGCTAAACATTTTACCATGCCTAATCCTCCATTTTATACTAAAAGTAAATAATAAATAGTTAGTTAGTTGCTAATCCCTTACAGGACATTGCAGAACCAACCTCAGCATTTTTGGCTATTGTGGTTTTTCTAGGCTAATTTGCCTCCACTAGTTTGCCATTGCTTTCAGGAGGGTCCGCTTCATGATACCACTGTCGAAACCAACGCAAGGCCTGCAGCTGGGATCAAACCAGGCACGCCTAATCTACAGACGCCGACATAATAAATAGTTAAAAATAATAATAATAAACAGTGAAATAATTAACTATGAAACTCAGTTTTATTTCTATATTGGTCACTGCTCCCCAGCTAACAGCTTGCGGCTATCCTCCGAATAACAGTCCCAAATTATTGAGGCCGAAAATATACCCTAACAGGGCCTCAGTCACATGTAAATTGAGGACTTCTGGCGACTACCACCACCGCCGAGAGTATCTCCTGCACCACGACTGAGGCCGTGTTAGGGTATATTTTTGGCCTCGATAATTTGGGACCATTATTCGGAGGATAGCCTAGCTTGCAAATGTGTTTAACGATTTCATGATTCCCTAGGGTTCCATTTCTGGGCACTCTTCCGAATAATGGCCCCTTATTATTGACTGTCCAAAACATTCCTTTCAGAGCCTCACGGGGTTCAAGGGGTTACAAAGAGGTCAAGGGGTTATAAAGAGGTTATACAAAATATGGAACAAAATATGGAACAATACGTAGCAATGCCGTGAAATAATTGAGGCCATCATCATCATAATTGAAGCCACCATCATCAGTTTTCACTTCTGCGCAATGTTTAAAGTTAAGCGCCGTGGGGAGAAATAGTTTTTGATCGACTGAAGTGACGTGGGGAGGAATAATTTTCGATCCATCGGAGCGCTGTGTCTTGAAGCCATCATCATCAGTTTTCACTTCTGCGCAATGTTTAAAGTTAAGCGGCGTGACCGATCACAGGCATACCAAGCAGACAGCTTATCAACTATACTAACGAAGACTCAGTAATTTCATTCACACAAAATTATATAATAAAAGAAAGCATAGTTCGTAGCGTTTCTGTTCCATATTTTTTAACTACATGACCTCTCAAGTCCCTAACTACGACCTCTTGAGGCCCTGAATGGGATTTTTTGTCTTTGAATAATAAGGGACGGGTATTCGGAAGAGTGCCCATTTCTGTAATAAGTAATAGTTTATTTTGATTTTTTAAATCACATGGTTTCGGACAGCAGTATGAAAGTTTCACCGTGGAAGTGGATGAGATTGATTGGGACATCATTGTGCAATATTCCCAAATCGAAGTGTAGGTAGGAGCAGGACTGTAGGCACCTTGTGCAGATGGCAAAGACGCCAAAGTCAAAGATATTAATCATCTTTTTCTTCTTCTTCTTTTGTCAAAATCTGCTTGTGCCGCTAGGCGTCGCAGTCTATCAGATGATCGGCAACCGAGCCAGGGCGCGCTCAGTCGCTTCATATGCCGTGATGTTATGAAGTCTCAAGTTGTCCGTGACTCCTTCAATCCATCTTCTTCTTGGTCTTCCCCTGCCTCTTGTTGTTTCGATTTTCATGTTGTATGCTCTTGATGCTGGCATCGTTGGTTCCATTCTCATTAGGTGACCAAACCATTTCATTCTTTGCTTCTCAATAAATTTAACGATGGGTATGGTTCCAATAGTTCTTGTGATCACATCGTTTCTCACTCGATCTCTTCTGGTTTTATTCGCAGCCATTCTCAAACATCTCATTTCACAGGTGGTTAGTCTTCTCTCGTGTTCTTTTGTTAATGTCCAAGTCTGACATTGATAACCTAATGTCGGTATAAAGATTGTATTTATAATTTGTCTTTTTATCTCAGCTGGGACAGCAGGGTGTTTTAAAATTGGGGCAAGCTGGTATGCGACATTGTTGGCTTGTTGGATTCTTGCTTCAATCTCTCTGTCTATTTTACCATTGTCTATTTTCAATAGACGCTAATCGGGGCCTTTTAAAGCATCATTGTTAATACTAGTGAAATTTAAATTTGTTAGATGAGTTCAGATCTGAGAGAGAGAGAGAGGGAGAGAGAGAGAGAGAGAGAGAGAGAGAGAGAGAGAGAGAGAGAGAGAAGGAGAATGAGAATGAGAGAGAGAGAGAGAGTCAGAGAGAGGTCTGCAAATGAAAAATCAAGCAAAAACAATTCGCTAGAGACGACTTCGTTTCGTTGCAGTGCAGTGCTTACTTGAATTTTTTTTTTAAGACACGCACGCACGGAACTGCAACAGACTAAACTAGAGTTACTGTTAAACTGTCAAAGAAAACAACTCACAGAACAGCAGTCTATTATATACAACTGACAAGCAGTTTTGTTTCTTTTATTTTTAAATCCTTTACAAGAACTGCGCCATGTTGGTTACTTCCGTCAACACGGATTTATCTCCCCTGTTATCATTATTATTATCATAATCATCATCATCAATATATGGCATGGTCTTTGCCATTATCGGAGAAATATTCATCTACTATGCTTCCTATAAATAGTCCAAATGGTATGAAAAAAAATAATATTTCGAGCAAATCATCACTGGCGTGGGCGATCATGCCTCTCCACAATATCTCCTGCAGCATGTATCAGTTCGTGTGCTGACAACCCGCCATGCAACAAGACTGTCAAGAACTCTACAATATATATCCAGTTTCGTCCTTTTTAGGACGAAATTGTTTGTCATTTGAAGCCCTACTCTGGCTTTTTCCAGGGGCCGCAATATAGGCAGGCCATATATATGGCCAAATGTCTGAACGCGGTTTCTGGGACCTCTCCAAGGCGATCCTCATCCGCATGGTGGCACTTTGTGTCATCGGGTGTTTATCGCTTGTGTGATGACCTGGTGGGGTAGAGAGTCAGTCAGTCTTCCTCTATCCTTCCTTCTACAGATCTTTCCAGTGGTCATAACATGTCCCATTTTCCCTCTTCTCGCAACAGAGCATAATCATGCTTCAAAACATATCGAATTCGAGCTGTTTTTTTTTTTTTTTCAACGAAACAGCGTTAGGAATTGCAAATCATAGTCTGGCACTGATATCAACTCAGGTCACTACCCTTTGATTTCAAAAAGGCACATACGATTGAATACACGGATCTAAAAGCATCAAGGGAATCTCAGACATATTAGCATCAAAGCAACCAGAAAAAAGTTAGCAGTATCCTGCGACAGTGACAAATGAATGAATGATTTAATCAATCAATCAAGAACTGACATCCCTGCACTCGGGATATTCTCACACGTGCTGTTTCTTTTCTTAGTAGCCAACGAAGAGTCGATACGCTAATAATAAGAACTGAAACCTGATTAAAAGTCTTCCTGTTCCCCCAAGCAGTGATGAATATCTCCCTGAGATTAACAAGAAAGTCCCAGTGTGTGACACAATTTTATTTTGAAGCCCTACTTTGGCAGCTGTCGGGGGTCATAATATAACCCAACCT